AGGTTAAAGTCAGTGCTATGCATTGACCAGTATTCACCCATGAGATCTAGGAGAAGATGGAGATTTTGTCTGTTCCTCCTATGTTCATCCAACTCAACTAATTTAGGTTATGTTAACTTTAGATTTTTGTGTCGTGGCATATTGTGCAAACACAACCTATTTGTTTAATTTATGGTTCAGTTGGCCAGAAAATTCAATAACCAGGTTAAGTATAAGAACTCAACTTTAGTCAGTTCTCAACCATCATGGCATACTATTCAAATCTATGCTTTGGACAAGGCCACTAAGGAGAAGTACATTTTCCCCTCATCTCTCTTTTTTCAGTGATAATCACAGAATGGCTGGTATTATTTGAAGAACTCTAACATCACGAGATGTGATGGGGTAGTTTCATATTCCTGGAAAGGTAGGAATCATTACACCCTCTAGAACAGGGGTGTCAAACTCAATTTCATTGAGGGCCACATCAGGGTTGTGTTTGACCTCGGGGGGGTGGGGGGAACGTGGGGGGGGCGTGGCCAGCTCAATGTCACTCATCAAGGCTCCGTTTTTGGCCATGACGGCCTCTTGCAGCATGGCCAAACGGTCCTCCCTGGCTCTGTTTTCGCTGGCAGAAGGCTGCAGGAGGCCGTCATGGCCAAAAACAGAGCCTGGAAGGCCCACAAGTGGCCCTCCCAAGCTCTGTTTTCACTGGCAGAGGCACCACAGGCTGGTCCTTCACTGTTTTCAGTGACTATGGGCCAGATTCCAGCCCGCAGACCTTGAGTTTGACACCCCTGCTCTAGAAGATCTACCTCACATTTCCACCCTCTTCTCTTGAAGAAACTGAGATTTCATCTCAACTAATGACAAACTCCAGCATCAGATGGCTACCACTACAGTCTCCCCCTATTGAGATGTGGCCATCATTTTTAGCCATGTTCATCATAAGTGTCCCTAAGAACCAGGGGTGAAATGCTCCCGGTTTGGACCGGATCGCACGATCCGGTAGCGATGGAGGCAGGTGGTTCAGAGAACCGGTAGCAAAAATCCCTGCCCCCCCCCCAATTTCCCCAACTGAGGCACGCAATCATCAGAAGCTTTTTTTAATTATTTTTAAAAGCATTTTTTCTACAACTTCTTTGGCCAAAAAAATACTTTTAAAAGTAAAAAAAAGCCTCTGATGACCACGCAGCTCAGCTGGGATCATCAGAGGCTTTTAAAAGCATTTTTTCTATAACCTCTTCAGCCGAAGAGGTTATAGAAAAAATGGTTTTAAAAGGAAAAAAAGCCTCTGCCGATCAGGAAGTCAGCTGGAATTGTCAGAGGCTTTAAAAAAAAAAAGAAAGCCTCTGCCGATCAGGCAAATCAGCTGGGATAGTCAGAGGCTTTTAAAGGCAGTTTTTTTTACAACCTCTTCAGCCGAAGAGGTTGTAGAAAAAATGGTTTTAAAAGTAAAAAAAAAAAAGTTGGCCATGCCCACTCAGTCATATTACACACACACACACCAAGCCACGCCCACAGAATTTTACATTTCACCACTGCTAAGAACCCTTGATGACAGTACACCCATGCAATAATGTAATGATGTATGCAATTCAATTATAGCTTCTTATAGACATCTGCAAGGTGTGGCAGTTTCTAGGATAAGGGTTTATTGTTTTATTTTATTGTTGTCTTATTAGCAAGGCTAGTCTCGCTAGCGGAGGTAACTGGAGGTTGCATGATTGGAGGTTGTGGTGGCCTAGAGTCAAGAAGAACACTATCAATGGTCCACTGGATGTTGAGATTTCTAGGGAATTATTACATCCAGTGCTGTTAGATTGAAGTAAGCATTGACAGATGCAGATCTGGCTTGCTTACAGTGCCATCTGCTGCCAAGCAAGGGGAATTGCTTCACAGGGGAGAGTAATGGCAGACTGACAGCTGACCTAGAAGAATGGAATGGAATGGAATGGAATAGAATAGAATAGAATAGAATAGAATAGAATAGAATAGAATAGAATGGGATCTTTGAGGTCTTCTAGTCCAACCCTCTGCTCAGGCAGAAAATTGTATACCATTTCAGATAAATAGCTGCCAATCTCTTCTTTAAAACTTCCAGCGTTAGAGTATTAACAACTTCTGGAGGCAAGTTTGATCAGACCAAGGAGGCTGGAAGGGTGGTAGGGAACTCTCAAAGCAGGTGGACACTCTCAAAGTTATTAGGGATGGTATTCCCACCGAGAGCTCTAGCACTAGGAATGACTATGTGAATTGCTCTGACATGTCTTTAAAGAAGCATTCCCCCATGCCTTTGGAATTCCAGCAAAATATGCATGAGCCACGGTGGCGCAGTAGTTAGAGTGCAGTACTGCAGTATTTCTCCTGGCTGCTGGCTACCTGCAATTTGGCAGTTCAAATCTCACCAGGTTCAAGGTTAACTCAGGTTTCCAGCCTTCTGAGGTGGGTAAAATGAGGGCCCAAATTGTTGGGGGCAATATGCTGACTCTGTAAACTGCTTAGAGAGAGCTGTAAACCACTGTAAAGCAATATATAAGTCTAAGTGCTATTGCTATTGCTATTGCTATTACCTTTCAGTAATCATTGGTCATTGCTTAGTGTTCCCTGGTGGTATATCAAAGTTTTTAATTCAATATAGAGCATCCACCAAGTCACTAACGTATAGTTATTCACTACAATAACTGTCAGTTTTCTCTTGCATTACAGCAAGTTTAATGTTCATTATATGGTTTTTGGAATTTTATTCACTTAAAATACATTTCCTGAAGATTGTTCTCTGGTTTTGCAAGTTTGGGATGGGCGGTATTCCCCTTAGTGTATTCTGATATCTGTTCCATAAGAATTGGTTAAAAGTGCACAGAGGGTTCCATGTGCTTCCCAAAAAGTTCTTTGGTGTTCTTTTCCTCCCAAGACTTTTAAAAGATTTTATCAGATTATAACTTTAAATGTGCCCTAATGATGAAAGGGCTGAAGGACTGCCGACTAATCACATTAAATTGATTACATTTTAATTAGCTGATATGTCAATGAATGAAATTAACAGGGCACTCGGCCCAAAATACAGTCTTTAACTCAGCAAACATTGCAAATATAAATGGCTTATATACAACATCCCAGAAAGGACCTGCTGTAAAAACCTCTATGGCTGTATTTGCACAACATACTGACTTCACTGAATTAAGGTTTAATAAAATAATCCAATTATGTGGGTTCATACAACATGCTTGAGGAGGTCAGTTTACATTTTAGCTGTTGCATTTGCACAACATAATCCGTTTGGTTGCTGTTATCTGTACATTGTGTACTATATTTACATTAGGAAAGATAAATGTGACTACACTCAGACCTGGAGTTACAAATTAGACAGTATTTTAGTCAAGTTATGTTGTACAGAATCATCCTTTCTACTTGAAAATTGAGAGAAAACATCAGCCTATGTTCTTTCTACTCTAAGATTTAGAGAAGACATAAGCATTACGTTCACCAACTTAGCTTCGTTTCTTATTTTATTTGTACACTGGTTTTCTTGTTTGAGGACCACAAAAACTGGGAGCCTATACTGTAGTATAAAACATTAGGATTGTCCATACTTCAGATTTTTTTTCCCCAGAAATTATGGTTCAGAATGTGCAGGAACCCAGCATTGCACAAACAGGAACACCTACACTATTCCAAACAAAAGAGCACCATTTGGGGGAAATGTGTAACGTAGTATTTATCAACGCTGGTTCTTTTTGCTGTTTTTGTTGTTGTTAGCATATGGCATTGTTAAATTAGCCAGGAGACCACAATGCTATTGCAGAATAGTAGTTTGGCTGCCAATTTACCAGCTGTGTTGTAGGATAGGTTTCTCCAACCTTGGCAACTTTAAGACTGGTGGACTTCAACTCCCAGAATTCCTCAGACACCAAAGCTGGCTGAGGAATTCTGGGAGTTGAAGTCCACCAGTCTTAAAGTTGCCAAGGTTGGAGACCCCTATTGTAGGACACACTCATGTGCTTTTCAAGGTGTGCCACATGGGGGCGAGCTGAGTTCGCATCAGAAAGAAAGATGAGTGGCTTCTTTCTTTCTTAAGAATGGAAAGTAGAGATAGGGTGTTTAACTCCTCAATGAAAAGCAATAAGGAATTAAACACCCTATTTAGTCCTACCATTTTGTCACTCATATATTCCTCTCTGTTAACATTGTTTTCCCACAGCCAAATCAGCTGTATGGCTTTAAAATCATTTGTTCACACTTAGTGCCTTATTAACCCTGCCTTATTAGTGTATTCCTTAAAATGATGTTAAATATTACATTATCAAATGCAACATGTTCTTCAAGAGATGGCTTTCCTTTCTAAAAGCAGTTTATCTAACAAGTTTCTTAAAGGGGAATGTTGTAAAGCTGAAGAAAAGGCTAACCAATGTGTAGACGTGAGGGGAATATATGAAAGAACCAATGGTGAAATGCTACCGGGCGATAGTGATAAAAACTACCGGTTTGGGGGAACCGGTAGTAAAAAAAAGCTACCAGTTCCTCCGAACCAGTATTTCCAACAATCAGCTGTGCCGCACAATTTAAAATAGCTAGAAAGCAGATAATCCTGCTTTCTAGTGAACCTAGATAGCGCGGCACAGCTGATCCCTCCCTCCTCACTGTTCTACTTACCTTCCCAAGCCTCCTTTTTCTGCCATTTGGTGTGCACTGCGAATGCACGCACAGAAAACCAGTGGCAAACCAGTTCAGATTTCACCATTGGAAAGAACTCTTAAATCTCAAAGTCTTATTTTAAGAATAAATTCCTCAGATTCTTAGCAGTATAAAGATCTATAGGTTTATGTTCTGAAGTCAAGTGTGTATGTGTATATGTTTAAATCATGCTTCTGCTTGTTTTATCACATAGCTTCTACTTGAGAACGTATCCATAATAATGTTTCAATTGTCCTAAATTTATAATCCTTCAAAGAACCTGGTTCTCCACTACAGGTCTGAATGGAAAAGCAGGGGAAATTATATCCATAGCTGAACATAGTGAATCTCTGGCAAAAGGCATTTATTGTTACAGTTATTTTTAAAACAGAGGCCTGTGGGGTCAAAATCAGCACCCCAGCCACTTTTAGTTAAGCAATACCAGGCTTGTAATACCTTGGAGTTAAGAGACACGATGGAAAGTTACAAAGGGACACAAAAATGAGGACTGTTTTTATCACACGGGGGACTAACAATGGCAAAACACACAAGACAACACTCACCCCAGAGGTGATTTTACTTCCTCTGCTTGCTCTGGGCTCATCACCAAATTAGATTACCTTTCCTTCTTCTTCATCGCCCCAGCCCACCCCCACCCCTTCTTGAATACTTCCCTCCAAAATTGGTATTCTTACCACCCCTCCAGCATTTGGATTCCATCTTCAGAATCAAGGACCCATGTGGGAACAAAAAACAAATTGTCTCATTGTTTGGGGGGTGTCTTCTCATCCATGCCCACCCTCTTCCCTCCCCAGATACAGCACATTTCTTCTTCACAACTTCCTTTTCCCCTGATGTCCCCCTCCCTCCCTGAAACACACGAGATGGCTTCTCCCATCAATTCTTTACATTCACAAACAACGAAAGCAGAGGACAATCCCAGTTCCTCAGTCAACACTTTGCATTAAGGCAGCCTCCACCATGTACTGCCGCCTGCTGCCATCTTTCCTTGGAGCTGTCAGTCCAAATTGTTATCTGCCTGAGGGCCTCTTTACCTTGAGGCCTCTTCCTTTAATTCCTTGTTCTTCCGGACCTCCTCAGCATGCTTATCCTTAAAAAAAAAAAAAAAAAGACATCACAAGATGTGGCTAGCTAGAGTCATCAATTTAGTGGGATAGGCAAATTCATACATGAGACTCCCATTTTTTTCCTTTTAACTACCCTGTAATCCCTTGCATTGGGGTGGAGTCAGGGTGATTGAAAGGAGCTGAGTGTTTACTAGCCGAATGCCCTTCCTGACACCTATGCAGACCTCACAGCAGATATTTTCTCTGCACCCAGAGAGAATATCTATTGCTAGGATCAAACTCAGAGCCTTCTGATTGTGAGGTGAGAGCTCCACCTCTAGGCCACCATGCTGCTCATGCATAGGACTCACGTGGCTTCCATTAATCTTCTTGAGAAGCTGAATATCTCTGTATATCAATAACCATGAAAGAAAAATAGGGTCATGACTCTCATGTCCCTAGAGACAGCTAGTTGGCTACCATAGAAGCACAATTCCTGGATTCACGCAAGATATATCTGATGGGCCTTTAGCAGCTATTAGCTCTTTGAACTGAAGATAAAAATCCTGAAAAAGGAGTGATCCTGTTTTTCTTCACACGCATAGCAGTCTAGCACACGTGTCTTGATCCGGTGCAACTCACAGCTTCCATCTCCATCCTTACTAGTGTTGACCTCTCACCTTCTCCTGAAGACGTTCCAACATAGCAGCTAAATGTGCCTCTCGGTTCTCCTTGTTGGACTCCATTTTCTGTATCAGCCTCTCCTTGGCAGTTTTGATGAAATTGTTGTTCTCCTCAATGGCTTTCTGGATGACCTCCCGTTCATGTTCCCGTTTTCCTGCCAAATGCTTCAGGAGTTCTGCTTCCTGGTACTGCACCCATAGAATAATATGAGAATGATATACATATATAGGGTGCATTGGCCGAAGGACAATGCAGCAGATCCTAGATTAGATACAGTAGGCTCCAAATAAAACTCCGCTAATAAAATCTATGCTTTACTGGGCTATTTTGCATTGATAACAAGACTGGATCTGATGACTTGATAAAGAAAGAAATTCCAGCACCTAAATGACTGATGATACAAAGACAGTGTTAAAAAGTCAAAAATCAGTAGTGGGTTTCAGTAGTCTGTTTGCTGTGTATGTCAGAGTTGGCTAAATTCTGCACCGTTGCCTCCTGCCCTGGCCCAAAACCAAAATTGGAGATGTTTATTGCTAAGAGCTTAGCTAGATGAACACAGCTGGAATATGTCATGGCACAAATATCAATATATATGTGTGAAGTATGCATCATTCCTTTTATAAGAAACTTTCTGTTTTACCTGGTTTAAAATTGGGGATAGATGGCATTCCCAAATGTTGTATCGCTATTTCCTTCTTTTCCTTTTCTAAAATCTTTTGTTCAACCTGACTATGGTGGTTTAGGATTATGTGAACTGTAGTCCAACAGTACATAGCTAAATTGATAAATGGCTAAGAAGACGGATTTCCAATTGCGTTATAGGGATTTTGACATTTGTTAATCTCAATTTTCCAACCACATTTCTTTTTTGTAATCTGTGTTTATCAAGATACATTCGGGAAGTCTTCTTTCACCTGCTGAATGCTTAAATACAGCAGGAAACCTGTTCAGTGTCACGTATGCTGATTTTTTTATATCCCAAGTCTTCTTCTCTTTGGTCAAAGTAACACTGTTGGGACAAAATCTTTCAATTTAACTTATACCAGTTTCCCTTGCAGGTCAGGATCTCACTTCTCTCTATGTATCCTAAGGGCTACTTTATAGAATACTATTAACCAGCAGCTCAGACAGGCTGGCCTGGCTTTTAATTTGTAAAATGTCAAGTAATTGTAATGAGATGGATCAGATATGACCTTTCAAAGATCACATAGTGCAAAAACAAGTAACCTATTCACAGCAGCACAGGATTTTTTTAAAAAAAAATATTGTCTGTGACCTCATGATAACACTTGGGATAGATTGCTTCCCCTAGTTTTTTGGGTTTTTTTTAAAGAAAATTTGCCCAGAGTTTTGTTTTCTGCTTCTGTCAATATAGCAAGTCTATGTGAAAACTAGATCTGAAAGAACCTCATTTCTTTCAATTCCTACTAGAAATCAGTGGCAAACCACGGCACCCGATTCATTGATACAAAATATCTGCATGTTTTATTTGTACATTTTTTAAAAAATCTCAAAGTGGTTTACAAAATAATTCAAAAGAAGAGGAAGAAGAAGAAGAAGAAGAAGAAGAAGAAGAAGAAGAAGAAGAAGAAGAAGAAGAAGAAGAAGAAGAAGAAGAATGCCTTTGCCCAGTGCCAAAAATATAACAAAGATGGCACAAAGGGTATCTCACCAAAGAAGCCATTGCAAACTTGGTGTCATGGGTTAAGTTTGGCCCTATATTTGAATCGTCTCTGAAATCCAAACTTTAATTTGTCATGGGTCTACAGTTCCCATGTATATTTATATTCCTGCCTCACATACTTGAAACTTTTCCTGTTCTTGTCCTTTTCCTGATAAATTCTATGCTTATGTAACCTTGCAAAAGTTTTCAAGAGAAGATCAGGGAAAGATACTTGAAGGTATTATTTGTTTGTGTCTTGCCAAATAAAGCTACACCTAGAGGCTGGCAAAAGAGAGGTTTATTTATTGCTATCTGAACGTATGAACTACATGAATGAATCTGTTACATGGGTAACGCAGAGACACAGAGGGGTTTATCAGTCAAAGACACCCAAATATGAATACTTTAATTTATTTTAGCCATTTCTCCTTTGGGCAAATTGATTTTTCTACTCAGTTTTCAGGAGATTGACTTGATCACCTCTGGTTTCATTCATGATGATCCAAACAAGGCCTGTCTTTACAGGGGAACATTAAAGGTAAAGGTAAAGGTTCCCCTCGCACATATGTGCTAGTCATTCCTGACTCTAGGGGGCGGTGCTCATTTCCGTTTCAAAGCCGAAGAGCCAGCGCTGTCCGAAGACATCTCCATGGTCATGTGGCCGGCATGATTAAACGCCAGAGGCGCATGGAACGCTGTTACCTTCCCATCAAAGGTGGTCCCTATTTTTCTACTTGCATTTTTTACGTGTTTTCGAACTGCTAGGTTGGCAGAAGCTGGGGCAACTAACAGGAGCTCACCCCATTATGCAGCACTAGGGATTTGAACCACTGAACTGCCGAGCCACTGCGTCCCTTTTAGGGGAACATTAGATTATGCATAAGCTTTGTTGAGAATGGGGTTATCAAAAATGCCTGTTAACAGTAATCTGAGAAGCCTCCTGTGACTTAACAGCTACCATAGAAAAGCCCCTTTCTTGGGAAGTCACTCCAAACTTCAAATGTGTAAACCTGGATGTAATTTCCAGCCTAAACAGTAGATATATTGGAAGCAAACAAGGAACCCAGGGCTCTAACAAAATATTTCCTAAAGCATTTCCAAGAGGAAAAGAGTGGATAAGATCACTTCTTATGATCAAGGGGAAAGGGAAAGAGTTAACTAGGGATCTAAGCTGAGCCAAGAAAAGGAATTCATTCATTTCTTTCCCCCACAGTTGTAGTCCAGAAGCTATTCATGACTACCTATCAAGGTCAGGCAGGAACAAGGATGAATGAATAATGCCTCCTAATGGATTATCAATAATTTGTAAACAGGAAAGCACCGCCACTTTCTTTCTTCCTGAGATCAGCCCATTCCCCAGAACTGCTTTGTAAGCAGTTGAAGAGCTAGCTAACATTTTGCTTGAATTCCTTTCCTCCTCATTGTTCACAGGAGAAGCTAAAAATGGCTCCCTTCTATATACATTTATGTAAAGCTCATGCCTAAGACTTCGATTATTATGCTTATTTACAAGACTGTATTATATTTCATGTTATGAACAAATGGAATTATTTCTTTTATACTTCACCCATGAATGACATTCATTTGAATTAGACATGATTTTCTTCTATTATTTTATTATTTTAGTGACTATTGAATATTAATAAAACAAGGCAAGTGTGCTTTAAGAGCACATTTCCCCACTCAATGGGGAAATGTAGCCAAATTTAGCCAAATATTTAGCCAATATTGGAAAGCTAAGCTGCTGTAGTGCCGAACTGGAGAGCTTAAGGCACTGAACTAGGAGCAGCCTTCTACAGGGTAACTTTTCAATGATTAGATTAAGCAAATGCTTAAATATCTCAACTGTAATAAAACGTGTATATGAATAGTATCAATTAAGAGAGAGGTTGAATTTGTACAATATACTTAATCTGGTTTGCATAATTTATTTTTCACATTTTGGAACTGCCCATCTCCTTCACAGAGGGACAATATATTGAACCCTAAACTAACCAAAGAAGCTGGGTTTATACAACACTTTATGGGGGTGGGTGGGAATCCTCTAATCAAGATTAAAATTAGTCAGTTTTTGCATATTCTATTAATGCAGTGGTTCTCAACCTGTGGGTCGCGATCCCTTTGGGGGTCGAATGACCCTTTCACAGGGGTCACCTAAGACCATCGGAAAACACATATTTTCAATGGTTTTAGGAATAATTTTATGGTTGGGGGTCACCACAACATGAGGAACTGTATTAAAGGGTCGCGGCATTAGGAAGGTTGAGAACCACTGTATTAATGGAAACACTAAGCCCTTACCTGATCCATCTAGTACATTGAGTGAACTCAGCCAGGGAATGCAAAATTGTCACTTTTTCAAATTCATTGTAATGTTTAGTTAGAACACGGGAAATTAGAAACTATATATTGTCTTCTACAGCAGAGTTCCCCAACTTGGGACCCTTCCAGGTGTTGGGCTTAGTTCCACAGTTCCCAACCACTATGGCTCTGTGAAGAATTCTATAAATTGATGTCCATAATTCTGAAGACATCCAAACAGGGGAGATTTTTTTTCTGGAGTAATTTGATATAATCCTGAGAACCATCTTTATTTTTCTAGAACAACACTTCACATTTTTCCTGGCATTAAAAAGAGTGGGCAGATTCCCTGTTGGTTTATTCACATAATCAATTTGTCCTCTACAATGTCTAAACTATTTACCAAGGTTGATGCCATTGGGAAAGGCAAAGACTAAAGCCCTACTCTACAGAATGACAGGGAGAATCCTCAAAACAGGACAGTTAGTTCAATGGATTTTGAATGAGTGAATAATATACTTTACTATCCAAAGAGGTGGCCTGCTGTTACCATAAAGCCCATTAAATTTCTTAACCGCACTATGGATATCATGCAGGTGCAAATTATTTCTCACCTTACGTCGTTCCTCAGCAGCTTCTAGCTTCTTCTGGATCTCCTCCAATGAAGGGTCACGCCGCCGAGGCAGGGAGGCATTGAATTCAGGGATTCCATCGAAGGACGGTGGCTTAAGGATAACCTCAAAGGATTGTCCTGAGGTGCGCTTGTTGAGTTCAATGACCTCCATGTCAGATATGACACACCAGGTCAGGTCTACAGTGTCTACTAAACAAAAGGGGGAGAAAAGCTGAAGAATCAATGTGCCAAGAAGCTGTTAAACTAGCAATGGCCTTAATTACTCTAGGCCACAGAGAAAACTACAGGGAAATCTGTATCTCTCAGGGGATCTGAAGTTTCTCCTGCAACATTGAGGTCCTTTGGTACAGACATGATGGGATTCATCAGCAAAGAAGTAGGCATGAAAGGAAAAGGTTTCTAAGTTTGGAAATCAGTGTGTGCAAAATCCCTTCTTTGGTGCCTATTCTTCCATCATGCCGGCAAACGACACTGAGCCAAAGATAAAAATGAAGCAGTATATTTCTTCTTAAAAACTGAATTCACATAGCTCACTTTATTGGCTCAGCTAGAAATCTAGCAGCTGCACTAGAGCTACATGAAAGTTGGTTAGCTTAGCTGTTTTTGCCACACACCAAAAAAACCCCAAAATAATAACTTTCTTAGCAAGAATATTAGTTTCCACTTACCTTCATATTTATATGACGGTTTATTTAAAGGATCTGAGAGAAAGCAGGAACAGAAGAGGGACACCAGGGGGAGCTCTTTCATTTTTTCTTTGTAGGCTGTGTGAAACAAGAACATTAAAACACAATTACAAAAAAGGAGGCTTTATTAGCAATTTCCCTGGCATTTGTTCCTGGCCTGTGGGGAGTTTTTCCCTGCTTTCTTGCTCATCTCATGGCAGACATGAAAAGTAATGGAGGAGGTGGGGGAGAGGAAGAGCTGTTATTGGCTTCATTTTCAGATGCTGAGTTCTCCTAATGCTTCTATACAAAATTCATAGTACAGTTGAACTTGAAATGCTGTGTGTCCACGCCTGGTGATTGCATCTCAAAAGGAAGTTCTGGAACTGGGGAAAGACAGGAAACATGCACCCATATAGACAGTAGACAAATCAATTAGTTAATTTGGTGCAGTGGTGGGCTGCAACTGGTTTAATGACCGATTCTGTAAGTGTGCACTTCGCGTGCATGCGCGTCTAACGCGCCTGCACACAGAGTTCAAAATACAGCAATTTGAAACTCAGTTGCTTACCTTCTAAGGCAGCCCCGGTAAGTAGAACACCGGAGGCGCAGAAATCAGCTGTGCCGCGCGAATCAGCTGATCCAAAAAGAAGGAAATATAGGAGAGGATAGGGCAGGGGCAGGTGGGTGGAGCCAGCTGATCGTTGGAACTACCGATTCATCTGAATCAGTCCGAACCGGCAGCAGCCCACCACTGATTTGGTGCCCCATGGTGTTTAGAAGTTTTCCAGCAAATTTGCAAGGAGAGAATTTAAATAGATGATTGATCTGAATTCCTCTAGGCATGGGAGGAGGAAAAAATCTCTGAATGATTTCTCCATTTCCTCTGAGCTATGCCAATTTTATTACTGCTAAAATATCCCATAGGAAACATTTACTCTTGATATCTTCCTTGAGGATTTAACTAAAGCATGGGAAGCCAGGGAGACAGCAGATCTCTGATGTGAGTATGGAAGAGTGAAAGACACGACACTAACACGTGCTGTCTCCTTTTTTGGCTACTTTACAACTAAACCAGTGCATGAGCACTATACTCCAGCTGAGAGAATTTCACTAGGATTCTCTTTTCCTTTGCAAGGATTTGCAGAAGCAAATTTGCCAGCATCAAATTAAATAAGAACTGGTAGGAGAAATTGGAGAATTTCTCTGTCAAGACAATTTTTCAATGAAAGTCAAAAAAAAAAAGGTACAGAAAAGAATTCTTTGCTGCCAGCTAGTGTCGATCTGATTGCTCTCTAATTAGTTTAGTGCAGTGGCTGGTTGGGAATTTTTGGGAATTAAAGTTCATGCATCTTCAAGTAACTTCAAGATGAGGGCAGCACATCTGTCTCCTTCTGTCTTAGTCACTTTTTACAGAGGCACGATTGAGAACATTTTAACAAGCTGCACCACTGTTTGGTTTGGTGGCAGCAGTGCCTCAGATAAAAAGTCCATACAGAGAGTGGTAAGGACAACCAAGAAGAATACTGTTTATAAGCACTATATGCTTAGAGCTCAAAGCATTGTCAGAGACCCCACACACCCACTTTATGCTCTGTTTCTGTTTCTCCCCTCTGGGAGGAGGTTTTGAAGTATTTCTAGCAGGACTACCAGATTCTGTAACAGCTTTGTTCTCTATGCCACCCATCCGGTAAACTCGCAAGATTCATTTTTCTCGCCATCTGGACTAGACTGTGTTGTTTCTCTGTGTCGTATAATATATGTGGGTATATGCATAATTTTGTGTTTGTTTGTTTGTTTATGTTGTCATGTTTATATACTGTATATTGGAGGTGGTAACCCTTTGAAAGCTGTATGCAATGAAATTTCATTTTAATGTATGCCAATAGTGTACATTCAAAGTGACAATAAAGTCGTTCTATTCTATTCTACTCTACTCTACTCTACTCTACTCTACTCTACTCTACTCTACTCTAAACACTAGATTAATGGCCCTTTGTGTGGGCACAGTGTGTAAACCAGTGGTGAAATCCAAATTTTTTTACTACTGGTTCTGTGGGCGTGGCTTGGTAGGCGTGGCAGAGGAAGGATACTGCAAAATCTCCATTCCCACCCCACTCCTGGGGGAAGGATATTGCAAAATCTACAGTTCCACCCCACTCTGGGGCCAGCCAGAGGTGGTATTTGCCGGTTCTCCGTACTACTCAAAATTTCCACTACCGGTTCTCCAGAACCTGTCAGAACCTGCTGGATTTCACCCCTGGTGTAAACAGAGCCATTTTCTCTCATATGAATTCTTTTTAAATTTCCCAACTGCCAAATTTAGGTATTATCTGATAATAGAAAACTGCATCCATGTGAAATCTGCTGCCCCTATCCTGTTAGACTCTGTGTCTTCTCCCTTTCCAAATGTCACCATCCAGTGGGAAACCTTCCTCCCATCCCACAAACAATGCAGAGATAGGATGGCCATGTGGTTGGAGAGGTAGCAACTTTCCCTGTTATATGGAACATCGTTTAGCCTGGAAAAGCCAAAAAGGTTGGTTCTCTTTGCTGATCCAGTAAGTCTGCTGAATGGCTGTCCAGTAGGCTTACATGGCCAATAGTCATACAAAACTCCAAAAGTCCAATAATCACAATCTCCAGCTACAGTATTCCTACAGGGAAAAGAGGGGAAATAATAATATAGAAGAAAAACCAGAGATGGAAGAGTGGTGCCAAAACAAGTCTTAATTGGCCAATGGACATTAAGCTGACCCCATTTTCTGTGCCACTGAAAGCATGGGTATTGAAGTCACTCTAAAGCAGGGATCTCCAACCTTGGCAACTTTAAGACTTGTGGACTTCAACTCCCAGAATTGAAGCTGGCTGAGGAATTCTGGGAGTTGAAGTCCACAAGTCTTAAAGTTGCCAAGGTTAGAGACCCATGGTCTAAAGGGTTACCCTACTAAAAGGTCATGCTACTGTAACACCTGCAGAACTAAGAGTGACATACGGCAACATTATAAGGATATAGCAGAGGAAAGATTTATTGGGGATATATACTATGTTCAAAGGCCAATGGAGGAAAGCCCTGAAAAGGGAGCATTCCCATACCTGCCAGAGTCATGGTTTCTGCTGTTCTTAGTATCCTGCTGCTTTGATGGCTGTCAAGGGGGACGATCGCAACCGGTGGAGAAGAGCCTACCAGCAACTTGAGGAGACAAGCAAAAGACAAAGTGACACATGAGTGAATTTCAGTTTGCTTCTGTCCTTTTAAGGAAACAAGGGATTTGCAAGGGGATACAATCTACAAGACACTACAGATCAAAAGGGAATTTCCCACAAAGATAGAATAGAATAGAATAACAGAGTTGGAAGGGATCTTGGTGGTCTTCTAGTCCAACCCCGTTTAGGCAGGAAATCCTACACCACTTCAGACAAATGGTTATCCAACATCTTCTTAAAAACTTTCAGTGTTGGAACATTCACAACTTCTGGAGGCAAGTTGTTCCTCTGTTTAATTGTTCTAACTGTCAGGAAACTTCTCTTAGTTCTAGGTTGCTTCTCTCCTTGATTAGTTTCCACCCATTGCTTCTTATCCTACAATAATCAACAGTTTGACTCCCTCTTCTTTGTTGCAGCCCCTGAGATATTGGAACACTGCTATCATGTCTCCCCTAGTCCTTCTTTTTATTAAACTAGACATGCCCAGTTCATGCAATCGTTCTTCATATGTTTTAGCCTCCAGTCCCCTAATCATCTTTGTTGCTCTTCTCTGCACTCTTTCTAGAGTCTCAACATCTTTTTTACATCGTGGCGACCAAAACTGAATACAATATTCCAAGTGTGGCCTTACTAAGGCATTATAAAGTGCTATTAACACTTCACGTGATCTTGATTCTATCCCTCTCTTTACACAACCTAGAACTGTGTCCTAGCCTAGAACTAGATCTCAAGCTGTTCACCTCAGCAGCTTCACGATCCTTCCAGCAGGCATTAGATTCAGTTCAGCTCTGTATCATCTCCCCAATTTTCCTATGTTCCATTTAAGCATAGATTCCTTATTTTAACTCTGAACAACAAAGGACCCAATCCTATTTTTGTCTAGTATAACATGTTGTGAAATGGCCCAGTATTGGTCTGCTGGAATATGAATAGTTTAACTCCATGTTTCTCAATGCCCAGAATTCCTCTGTCAGCATTTGAAGCTGTTGAAGTCCACATATCTTAAAGTTGCTAAGACTAAGTTTCAATAACTGATAACCTCCAGTTGAGGGATGGCCAGAAAGACACAGGACCCAGAAATGCAGGGCTTTTGATGTGGAAGTGCTAACCGTCTTCAACTCTTAGATGCAAACCAAAATTACATGCATTTCAAAACTCTTTGACTTGTTTCCCTAGTTGTTACTTGATGCATTTAAAGATCAACAAGTCAAGCGTAAAAAGGTCTCTTTAATCTTTTAATTTCTGCCTATTTGGCCAGTTGAAGATCAATCTTTTTTCTGTTCCATGGAGAAACACAACATATTTCATAAAGGTAGCATTAAATCATCTTCTTTTAACCACCCCATAATCCTTTGTGGGGTGGAGAGTGGGCAACTGAATGGAGCTAGCAGAATGTTTATTGGTCAGATGCCCTTCCTGTTACCAATGCAGTGTTTTGTTCAGCAGATATATTCTCAGTGTGCCCAGAGACAGAAATATCTGCCTCTACCTAGGAGCGAACTCACAGTCTCCTGATTGTGAGGCAAGAGCTCCACCTCTAGGCCACTGCACCACTCATAAAGGTAGCATTAAATTACTTACGAGATCGCCTTCTGCCACCGACAGCCTCCTACCGGCCAATACGCTCCCACAGAGAGGGACTCCTCAGGGTGCCATCAGTCAAACAATGCCAACTGGTGACCCCCAGGGGGAGAGCCTTCTCTGTGGGGGCACCTGCCCTCTGGAATGAACTGCCCCCGGAGATTCGTATGATCCCTGACCTATGTAACTTTCGCCGTGCCCTTAAGACTCTACTGTTTCAACAGGCTGGGCTGGCTTAAGAACGGATTTTAATGTGTGTTTTAGTGTTTAATATAGGGCCAAATCATTTAATCTGTTTTAAACTGTTTTTTAAATTTTATAGATATACATGTTTTAGTATGGCTGTACACCACCCTGAGTCCCTCGGGAGAAGGGCAGTGTAAAAATGTAAATAATAAATAAATTAATTAAATAAATTAAATGCCTTTGGCATATGTTTAGACACACTTCTCGTCGCCTCAATCATCAGCAGTGTAGTTTTCTCTTTCTTTTATCATGCCATCATTCCATCACCAGAGTCTGGAACCAATGAGTGTCTAGATGGTGAACAACAGGCCATGACTCAATCTGAGCAAAACAAGAGTGACTTCCCAGGGTAGCACATCTCCTGATAAATGTAGCGTGCATCAAGGGAGTCTTCCTGGACTGATGGCTCCTATCAAAAAGCATGTGGCAACTGTGGCTGGAAGGGCTTTTGCACCAATCCATCTTATGTGGCAACTGCACCCATTTGTGGACTGGGAGGCTCTGTTCATAGTCACTCATGCCTTGGTCACTTCCCAATTGGACTGCTGCTGCTCTAGGAGTATCTGTCCTTGAAAAACACTCAGAAGTTTCTGCTGGTTCAGAATGCAGTGGCATGCACTGTTCCAGGTATACCAAGGTTCTCTTGTGCTACACCGCTACTGTGCCAACTGAAATGGTTCTCTGGGTGCTTCTGGGTGCAATTCGAGGTTCTAATTATCATGTTTAAAACCCTACATCAGTGATTCTCAACCTGTGGTCCACAGACCCCTGGGGGGCCATGATGTCATCATAAGGCAACCCGCGGCTCTGGAGCCACATGTGGCTCTTTCATTCCTCTGCTGCAGCTCCCTGCCACCGGTCAGCTCCACAATTGATAGGGCTTTCGGTTAGGACAGGTGGAGGAAAAAGGACACCGCTCTAGGAGGAGACTCTATGGTGAGGGAACCGGACTTCCGGTCGGCAGAAGAAAAAGGACACCATGCTAGGTGGAGAACCGAACTTCCAGTTGGCTCCAGAATTGAACGGGGGACTTCTGGTTAGGAGCTTTGTGGCTCTTTGAGTGTTTAAGGTTGCCGACCACTGTCATAGGGGGTCCATGAAGGCTTGAAGAAATGTTATGATTTAAATGAGGGTGAAAGTGATTTAAATCTTGAGTTAAGTCTTGGCGGTCCGTGGCCATGGCCTGTGGCCACAAAAGATATTTAAAGGGAGTCCGTGGTGGATAGATAACATGCAGGATGGCCTCTCTCTGAGGGTTTCTGTCCATCCCACCAGGCACAATAGAATATGGGTATTCCAGGTCCCCTCTGCCCAATATTATTTGGTGGGACCTAGGAGATGTGTCTTCACTGTTGTGACATTTGGTATGGAGCATCCTGACCTCTGAGATCTAGAGGGCCACAACTCTCTTGGCCTTCTGGAAGGCTGCGATGACCGACATGTGATGTTTCAGGTGCTCAGATGGGATATTGAGCCAATATAAGTGTAGTTGCGTCATGAGTCTGTAATGCTGCCCTGGCTATTGTGTTATGGTTACTTTAATATTGTTTCCTTTTTGTGATTAGAGGCTTTATAATATACTTTTCTGGATTTTTATTAGCCAGCCATGGCTATGTTCAAGAGGCAGCCGTACAAATTCTGTAAATCAATAAAACTCATGTGAACTATCAAGATTAGGTATCTGGATTTCATTCAGTGGCAGAGATCCTTTTTAAAGAAGTCGAAGAAGCACACTAAGCAATGCTGACTCGGGGCCATTTGAGAGTTTGAATCAGTCTTGGAACACATTGGCACCATGTCTGGGGTGACTCCAGTGCATGAACACAGCTCTCACAGCAGGGAGGGAGAAGGCAGCTCAAACAAAAAGACTTTTTCAATAGAAGAAATAACAGATGGAACTGCTCCACCCAGAAGCAATTTAAGATGCTTCTGCCTTTTAAGAAAGTTGTAGTGATCTTGAAAAGGGACTGGCAAACAAAGCCCATTGGATACAGATATGGTGCTGAGCCATTAAATGGCCTAGTATATATGCAAATTCAGATGGTTGTAATTTATTCATCAAACCATGGTTACATGAATCAGATCATAATGAGACAGGGAGGAGGAATAACAAGAAAATTGGAAACACATTTTTTTTAATAGTAAGCCAGTTTAAGATGTTGGAGTACTTAAATTTTCAGCTGAAAGAATCATTCAGTTCTGTGTGAACACAAGAGATGTTTTAGATTCAGTCCTTCTCATATAATGTAGACCAGGGGTGTCAAACTTGATTTCATTGAGGGCCGCTTCAGGATTGTATTCGACCTTGGGGGCCAGGGTGGGCGTGGCCAGGGTGGGTGTGGCCAGCTTGATGCCACTTGTATCAGGGGGCATCTGTGGTGGCCCGAGCGCTCTGCCAGTGAAAACGGGCTCCAGAGATCCATTTTCAGCTGCGACGGCCTCCTGCCGCCCTCTGCCAGTGAAAACAAAGTTTGGGGCAGCACAGCCCCCCCAGCTCTGTTTTCACTGGCAGAGGGCAGCAGGAGGTTATCACAGCTGAAAATGGAACCTGGGAGGGCTGCACGCGGCCCTCCTGAACTCCATTTTTGCTGGCAGATGCACCGTAGACCGGTCCTTTGCTGTTTCTAGGGTGACCCCGCAGGCCAGATTGAAGCACCCTCTGGGCCAGATCCGACCCCTGGGCCTTGAGTTTGACACCCCTGATGTAGACTAATGCCCTGCTTCCAGCAATGACTAGTTTGATCGTATATGCATGGATACTTCCAGATGCTGCTACAAGAAACTCTGGAAAAAAGCAGTGTTCCATACGTTCATTCTTTGTTCATTTGATTTGACCCAGATTTTGTGAAACCATAAGGATCATCCCACTAATTACAAGACGCAATAGGTTGCAGCAGTGAAGAAGAAGCTTTCCAGTTTACAGTGAGTGTAGGTTGGAAAATGAACTCTTAATTCATTTCTATAAGCAACACATAAATTGGACTTTGAACTACAAGGGCATTGAACTACAAGGCTACAATAAAATTACAATAAAACTAGAACTGCAATAAAAACTTACCATTACTTATTATTAGATGGCTTTTTCTCAACCATTAGAAGATATGTAATTTTCAGTCTTTCAAAAAAAAATAAAAATCTTTAGTAATCCCATTTGTGAAAAAATTCCATTTGCCTGGAATTCTCAGCTAAGTCTCCTTGAGCAGGGGTCCCCGACCTCTGGTCCGTGGCATGCCAGAAATGGGGCCGCACGAAATCCATGGGATGCAGGGCAGCATGTGAAACCACGCCCCCTCCGGTCCACGGAAAAACCTCTCTCCATGGAAACGGCCCCTGGTGCCCAAAAGGTTGGGGGCTACTGTCGTTGAGGACAGAATATTTGCAGCGGGTAAGTACAAAAGAATGATGGAGTACAGAAGTAGAGATCCAAAAAAGGTAGTTAGATTTTAGCTCATCAATTCAAAAACTCAAATTTGCTAAACCGGAGTGGGCGGGGGGGGCATTTCCAGGACTGCTTGCTTGCTCCCAAAAAACATTGTGTAAGTCAGTTTTAGACCTGAGTATAGGAACAATGCTGTATTTATTTCCCAAAACCAATGAGGATTGCTCTTGCGAAAGGAAGCACATGTTCCAAATCGCTTCCTCCCCTCTCCCCATGATAACTTCCCAGGAGTGGGCCATGACACTGAGAAAGACAAGGATGCCTCTTAGGATTGATGCTAGTTTAAAAATGTTTTTTTTTTGTTTTGTTTTTACCTGCTTGAATTACAACAGCTAACAAATACAACACCCAAAAGTCCTCTTGCTAAATCTTAAGCCTCTAGAATTTGACTGGGGATTCCTCCAGGTGAAAAAAGTGGAGTTTGCACACCACCTCAGAAAAATTCCTGCTGCTCCGCTTGGAAGACATGTTCTTCATGCAAAACTTCATTCCTCTGACAGCATCCCAAGCCTCTCTGTCTCTGTCCCCACCTCCTTCTAGCCTCAAAAACCTCTTCTTCCTTCATGTAAAGGAAATCTCTGTTTCTACAAATGGAGTCATCGCAGCAGCCCCCTTCCTTTTCATCCAAGACCTATGAGCGGACATGATTCAGTCCCCAAGATCCATGGCTCTTCTTTCCTTTGTTAGGAGATCATGCGCTCAGCGTTTTCACCGGCAGCTCTGGGCACTGGCTGCGATCTGCCCCCAGTCTCTCTTCATCACTATCCCTTTATTGCTAAGCCCCCCTGCTTTGGTTCCTGGGAAAGAGCTTTGGATCAAGAAGCCGGCTTGGGAGGTGTGGGGCTGGCTGGGAGGCGAACCCACAGAGTGAGTGAGCCCTAGGCTTTTGAAATGCTGCTGTCTTACCAATGGCTCCACCAGGCATGCTGTGGCGCTTTGGTCGATAAGGGAGGGAGGGAGGCGGAAGCCACAGCCCTGTACTGTATAATGTGGGATGAGCTCACAGCAGCTGAAAGCAGGCAGGGAGGAGGAGAAAGAGGAGGGCACGATAAGGACCTGACACTGCAGCCTTGTCCAAAAAGGACAAGCTGGAGAACTTACAGACATTTTGCATCTGTACAAAATGGGCTTATTTCATTAACTATCGGACACCTTTCACTCTCCTAAAACTAAGTGCTCATATATTTCCAAACACAGAGACATAACCCAGAAGGACCCTGCTATCTCCGCTGTGACATTTTTAATGTCATATATATAAATCCTATATATTTCTTCCCTTTCGTGATCTTTTAAATTTCTTTCTTTTTTTAACCCAACAACCTTGCATTCGTACTTTTTAGATCTTTATGCTGCTATTCCCTTCACTGAAATATTTCCCTTTACTTTGTCTTTATTTTGATTTTGCTCTGTGCCTTTTCTTTTATCTTTGACTTTGTTCTTTCATTTGGTGATTGTACAAACCTTCTCAAGAGCTGTGGTGGCTGGACCGCAGGGTTAGGTAATAAAGAAGCGAATCGATTTCCACACAAAAGTGATTTTAAAAAATTTAAAGAGAAAACAGCTGTTGCTCCCCCTTCAGTAACTATTCCATCCCACACCCATTTAAGATAAATGCCATGGAAGTGGGAGAGGCCTCTCAGCCTTCATCTCCAGATGTGGGAGAGAAAGAGAGAGAGAAAAAAGCTCACATGCTGATTCCTATTTTTCTAAAAATATAAAATAAAATCCACCATTACTAATATATACCACAGGCTCATCACACAGGTATGAATGTCTGTTTTCTCTCCTTTAAACATTTCTGTTTCTATTTTTACCAATAACTTGGCACCTCTCCCTTTTCCAGGTAAGACACTGCCCACCCCTGACAAATAATTGCAGTTTTTGTTCAGCATTTGAAGAACTGACTAGGAGGGAGAAAAGATGGAGGGCTGGCCTTCCTTTGGATACCACCAATGAAATCAAAAGGAAGGAAGCAGTGATGGAAGGAAGATGGCTCTCCTGCCATGAGGTTACCTGTAGCAAAGACATTATCTGAAAATATAAAGGAAAGGGGAAGAGAGCAAAGGATTGGTGCTGTTGAACATGTTATGCTTACTTACCTCATGCCACAGAAATCTGATTTTATTGCTTTTACCTACATGGGAGGAATTTCAGTGCAGGCAGGAAAGGTTACATTTGCTGTCCACCTGCATTTGATAACATGTGACTTGTTGGGAAACCTATACCAATCAAAGCATCCTATGTGTGCACTTGTCATTTCCAATCATTCTTTTCTGCCCTGGAGCTATTTGGAAAGCACTCTGCACATGATCCCAGGGTTTATCATTGTAATGCTTCACATTTGCCAAGGTTGTCTGATGATGATTAAAACAGAGTCCTCGGGAAGAAAACCCCTCTGACGGTTGACTGATATTAAGCTCTGATGCCCTCTCATCTTTTATCCTAAATCAGAGCAACTTCAAGATATGAAAAGCATAAAATAGAAGTGGGCTTATCGGCATCAGTGAAATCTGGGGTGAAAAAGGGATCATGTCATGAATTGGGAAAGTTCCAGCCAGAAATGGAATCAAAAGGCTTTGGAAGAGTCTGAGGATGTCCGTAGGCAGTTGGAGGTATTTTTTGGGATTGGGGGCAGTAGGCAGAGAAAAAAACTAAAACAATTGCTATAGAAAGATTCAGCCAATGAATATTAACATTTAGCTGAAGGAAATGCACAGAAAGAGCATTTCCAAATTAATAGTGCTAACTTTGTACCGATATTAGAAGACTATAAAAACTCCACAATTCTCCCTTTGGGGAAAAAATCGGCTAGGTTGTCTACCAACAAAACCAAATTTGACCATTCCTACTTTTAAAAAAATTGTGGGTTTTTTTAGACACAAAGAAGTCCAAATGCTTTTCTCTTTCAGGGGGGCGGGGTGAAATTAATATTGGATTTGCTGGGTAAGAACAGGCTTAGAAAACTACTAAACTGACCCTCCCTTTGACCACAGGAAATTTATGCAGCCATTCCTCCTCTGGTTTCTCAAGTTTCAGCAATAAGTAGCCCAGGTTGAAGACAAGAAACTTTCTATCAACATAAAAATAATAAAGAGAGAAAGCCAGGATGTTTCAGAAACCTGAATTCCACATCCAATTAACTTGGCTATTCTTTCCTGCCCACTGAAAGCATTCTGCCATAAAAGCAGCCTTGCCCATTGTTAGTTTGTCTGGATCATGGTGAGTTCGTTGCAAATTTGCAAGAGAAGAAACAGCTGCGAAGAGGAAGAAAGAAATGTTCTGTAACTATCCACTGCCCCCCCCACAAAAAAGTGCCTCCATCCAGAGCAAAAATGGCTAGATGCAAAAGATCTCCAAAGCAACTCTATTTGTCCCTGTGATAATACCCATGTTCTCCTTTTGAGGAAAACTTGTGGCATTTAAGATTAAAATATAACCTCACAGAGAATGGGGGCATTGTCTCTAAATGAACTCTATTTCATGAAAGCTGCTGTCATATAAATGTTTGTCTTTAAGATGTCACCAGACTTTACTTGTTACGGTCTGGGAGCTGTTTTCCACAATGTCGCTGATCTAAAATTACTGATCTCTCACAGCCCAACATCCCAAGGGCTTCAGATTTTATATTGCATCACAGGACACTAAACAGGTTATGTGAAGTGTATTACACAAATTACAAGTAATAGGAAGCAGCTATTTCTTGGTATGGAAATTGTTAGAAATGCAATGATATAAAACAAGGAAGTATTAAGAAGGAAGGGGAAGGACAAGGGACTTTGAAGACAAGGGAGAAAAAAGAAAATAAATCTGTTTTGATGACATATTCAGTGTCAGCACAGAAAGAAAAAGAAAACAGTACTAAATATTCAGAGTTGGAAGAATGAGGTCACCGATAAAAGGAAAGCAAGAGACAGAGACAGAATGTGTTTATGAAAGTACTAAAACAGACATTATTATGTAAGATATGCAAAGGCAATTGAAGATCTGAATGGGATGGGAAGACCAGAAGAAACCAGAGTCTTAAGTGATGTTTTCCAAAAGTCAAGAGTAAAATTCATGGATCCTGCCCATCACAGTCTTGTCTATACCTAGTCTCTTATTAACATTCTCATTTGGAAAATCCAGCTCTCAAGACAGCATTTCTGCACTTGGTAAAAAAATTATTCTTTCCTCCATCTGCCCAGCCCCAGTTCCTAATGGGACCCTTTCTTAATCCTGCTGTACTTACCTTTTTTTTAAGTCCAATGCTTGGTTCAGCCGCTCCCAGCGTCTCGTTTGCTTCTGTTCAGGGAGTGATGCTAAAAGATCCACTTAGCATCCACCAGGCTGCCAAGTTCACACCATGACATCATCTCTGAGCCAGCTGATTGGCTAAGGTAATGAGGCAGCTGATTGGGCAGCATCTTCTTGGGAAGAAGGAATTGCCTGAGTAATCTCTTGATGAGCCAGGTGGGTTAAGGATGATGTCACACAAAAGATGTGATTTTCTTCAGATGAAGAAGGAAACGCAGTAGCCCTCCTTCAAAAGGATGCATCATAGGAAATCTAAGCCACCCACACCACAGCTGTCAAGACAAGCCTCCATCCTCTATGGCAACCTAGCTATTGTTATCCAAGCTAATTACAAGGGAGGGGGAGTGAAGCTTGGACCAGAAATTTGCATTTCTACATCTTTATCCAGGAAGAATCTCTACAAAATCAAGATTGTTTGGATGTTTGGAGAAAAAAAATGAATTTTATTTTACAATTTAGGGGGAAATTGGCTGAAGTGGGAGTGGAGATTTTTTTTAAATACATTTAATGACTGAATTCACCCCAGTTGCTATATTAAACTAAAATGGGCTTGGGTAATTAATTATTCAGCATCTTATGGAAATCCATCCTTTGTCTTATCAAGTTGAATGAGCCAAACCAAATCAGCCATAATAAATTAATCTGAGTTTGGCTTTTAATTTTTTTGATTAAAGGCTGAACCCACCCAGCCCTAGTATGTAACATTATATGTATTGCAGGATGAGAGCATAGGAAATTCTGGGTGAAGGACATCTCAATAATCACAGCTCCACAGCAGATCTATTTTAAGAGCATTTGTCAGAATTGCTACATACAGTATATGAGTTTCTGTAACATGATTTGCATACCTGCTAAATATGGTTATTTATTTTTTACGTATATCAATTTATATGACTGCCCAACTCATCAATGTGACTCCAGACAGCTAACAGGAACTAAAACATAATAAAAATACAAAATATATTAAAGAAATAAAAAACACTGTTTCAGCAAGTCTTCGAGGTTTTTCAGAAGATGAGCTGAGTTAGGGCCAGGTGAACTTCAGGTGATATGGTGTTCCAGACAGCAGGAGCAGCTACAGAAAAGGTACACCTCCTGGGTCCCATTAGATGATAATCACTAATAGATGAAACTCAATGCATGCACCTCCAGCCCAGCTTAATGGGAAGAGTAGAAGCCATGGGAGTAAGATGGTCCCTCAGATACTCTGGTCTCATGCTATGTAGGGCTGGATCAATCGGTCATTTGAATCTCATCCAGTGCAGAACATGGAGCAAAAGTAGAAACAAGGGCAAAGTGAGATAGCCCCATAATTGTCTGTGTCACTGGATTCTGGAGCAAATGAAGGTTCTGGATGTTCTTCAAGAACAGCCCCATGTAGAGTGCAGTGTAATAATCCATTTGGGAGGTGACCAAACACGAATGATGGAGCACATTGGCTCCTGCTCCAAGAAGGGGCACAATTGGTATACAGAATGAAATTATGCAAAGGACAAGAGCTTTGAATCCAGAAGGACCCACAAATTGGACACCAATGTTGTCTGGGGTAGTGCAACACTATCCAGAGCTAAGGGTGGAAAAATTCCCAATCCAGGAAGTTCTAACATCCAAAGTAACTCCACCTTGCTAGAGCTGAGGTGAAACCTGTTCTTCCCCATCCAGGATCCCATATTCTTCACACACTGAGCTTCCACACCACCACTTGGTCAAATGGGACAGAATATACAGCTGGGAATAACATCTCATCACTAATTTCATATAGATGCTAAACGTAAGTGGGGAAAGTTAAACCCCGAGGCATCTCACATAAGAGAGCCTGTGAAACAGATCTAGCTGCCCTCATCCAACACTGACCTTAATGGAGCCCAGAGGAAGGAAAAGAATCAGCATAATACTGTTCTCCTAAGCCCCAGAATTGATCCAGACAGATAGCATAGTTGATGGCATTAAAAGCTGCTGAAAGATTAAGGACAGAAAGAATTAGTACATTATCCCATCCTGGTCCCACATTCCACAATTGCGACCAATACCATTATATGAAAGAGATATTGGGGGGATATTCACGTTTTTTGTTAGTTCTTATTGTTTAAGAACTTAAGCATAATTGTGTAAAATACAGAGCACTGGTACAAAATGTCAAAATTCTGAAAACATAGTATTTGTCAGTCAATCTCAGGAAAAAAATGGCTTTTATTGGTAAATGTTAAACATGATTTTTTTTTATCAGTGATCAAATTTGTCCTTCCCTTCTGCCTTTCCACAATTCAAGAAATTCAGCCTAAACTCATAACCATATTTTACAACCAATCATATTTATTGGTTGTAGAATAAAAATCAAGATTAAGTCATTTGATGCCTTCCAGAGATTCTGGACAACAGTTCCTTTATCTCTTTGGAAAGAATTCTCTAACTATACTACCTAAGGAAGACAACATTTATAGGCCTAAGTATTTAAGGGGCATCTGGTTTCTTTCTTTTGTAAAATACATTTACCAGCTAATAAATCAGACTGATATACCATTGTATTATTTAACTATATTATCAATTGCTGCTGTCCATAAAATAAGGCTAAGTTTAGGTATATATATATAGAAAGAATATGCACATAAAAGCCTACGAAAAAGAAAAAGACACATTGTACCTTTACAGGGAGGATATCTGAGAAGTGGGTGTGGCTCACCGATGACGCCTTAAAAGGCAGAAATAGCTATCTGAGTCTCCCAGAGAGCAACACAGAGTTGCAGTTTGTCAGCAGAAAAAAGGCCCAGAAACTTGTGAATGAGATTTCACAGAACCAGGGCTGTAGAACAACTTAGTTTACGTAGGTAAAACCTGGCTAGAAAGAATATGCATATGTATGTATGTATGTATGTATGTATGTATGTATGTATGTATATGTATATGTATATATGTATATATATGTGTGTATATATGTGTATATATGTGTGTGTGTGTGTGTGTGTGTGTGTGTGTGTGTATGTGCAAGTTTTGGTGTATTCGGGTCTTTTCCCGTGTAAGATTGAGAGTATCTTGGCGATGTTTCGACGAGGTCCCACTCGTCATCTTCAGGCTGGTGTCTTCAGCTTCAATGAATAGAGGCAATATATTGCAGAATACCTTATTCATAACAGCCAGTTTGGTGTAGTGGTTAAGGTATCAGGCTAGAAACTGGGAAACTGCTAATTCTAGTCCCACCTTAGGCACAAAGCCAGCTGGGTGATCTTGGGCCCGTCATGCCCATGTTGGCGCCTGAATCTGTGGAGGAAGATGAGCCAGAACTGGAACCCATGGAGATCAAGGGCGTGGCTTCGTTGGCTTCAGAGGAATATGGGGAGGAGCAGACCAAGTCAGGCCAGGGCCTTTCAGGATTGGGATGGATGGAAGGGAGGGATGGGGGCAGGATGACCAAGAGAGGCTAAGCAGTGAACATGAGAGACAGAGCCCAGGCGATGAGCAACGACCACCTCCTCCTGATCCTCGAACACGGAGAGTGGAAAAGGTCGGAACAGCACAGGCTGACCCAACTATTTGGCAGGAGACCACCCCTCCCCTCTCCACAAGGCACACTTGGGGAACTGAGATTTAAGGAGATGCTGTGGGGAGGGGCATTTGTCGGGAACAAACACTGAATTCATAGAGTGTTGTGTGCTGTTACCGATGTTGGACGTTTCCTGGACTTCTTGCTTTGTTCCTTTGCTTCCTGGATTAATTGACTTGTTCCTTTGCTTCCTGGACTAATTGACTTATTCCCTTGCCCTGCTGGATTTCTTGTTTGCAGCTGTTGTGCTCACAGTGTTGTGCTGGATTACATGCAGCCAGAGGCTGCTGGAGGTGTGTTTGTGTGGGTGGGTAGGTGGATGGGTGGGTGTGATCACTTTGCTCTGGGACTTGCTAGAAACGTGGGAGTGTTTGGGGAACATTTTGAGCAATATAGGGGCAGTTTGAACTGTCAGCTGAGTGTGTTGCCTTGTGCTGTGCCATGCCCCAGGTCATCACAGGGCCAGTCACTTTCTCTCAGCCCTAAGAAGGAGGCAATGCCTAACCACCTCTGAAAATTTTTGCCAAGAAAATTGTAGGGAAAATTGTCCAGGTAGTCTCCAAGAACTGAACATAATTGAATGGAAGAAAAAAATTATTTATGGGGAATTTATTGCCAACAGTTTTGTTTTGACTTCAGCAACTCCAGCCATCTAGTCAGTGATTCAGAGGTTCTCTGTAAGATCTTTGAGAACTTTTGTGAGATTTGGACAGAAACATATGCTGTTTAAATTCCAATTCCTCTTTGACCTCACTCATTTTTCCCTTCTTAGCTTACCAGGTCAAGATTGCCTTCCAGAATAATTGGAATGTTCATGTTCAAAGGCAGAGGACCAGATTAAAAACGTAGAGGAAGATTACTTCCTTTCATGCTCTATTTAACTTCGCAAAACTATTTAAAGGGCTGTTTCTGGAAATCGAGCAATGAACTAGATGGATCTAATCATCTAGCAAAGTTCATGTAGTCTTTAGCTACCATAGCTACCCCTATTTTACACACAAGGATACACTATGCATCCCTTTTCCCCCCAGGTCTTTATACAAGATTCAATACATAACACCAAATGGGAAGCCATTTGTGGGTTTTTTTATTATCTCTCTAGAGCAGCTGCACTGCCAATATATCTGTCTGTTCATCAAAACATTTCTGATCATTAAGAACATTTTGTGAAGTTGTTCTGAAATCAGCCTGTATTGAAAAGCTACGCTGAAGATAATCATTCCATGGCATTGTTAACACTGACAAGGATGTAGGCAATGCTCAGGCTTAGACTCCAACTTAAGCACTTGATTCACAAACAAATTGAAAGCTAAACTCTTTGAGTTAAACACAATTGTTCTGTTCACATTCCCTGCTATGTCAAAAGAAATCAACCACACTCCATCTTAATGTAATTATCTAATTCACAAAAAGTACACAAATTGCCCAATTCCATTTTAGCCAATTCTAAAATGTTCTGCAAACCCAGCTGGAACATCTGTGCTTAATTGTAAC